TCTTTGCTGCGCCCATATTCCTAAGCGATCGATCATATCTTAGGTTAGGAAGTTGACTTCATTTCCTAAGGTATTCATTTGATTTTAGATTAACCACATTGTTGTGGTTACATTGACACTTACAAAACTTGTTTGACATTTCACTTACATATTGTTCTACTAAGATAGCGAAACTAGTTGAACAGTGAGTTATTTTCAGTATTACGTAAACGTGAAACTATTACAGGAACACGTTCTTCTTAAGAATTATTTTATAATGATCATTCCAAGAGATGGTAATTATTTGTTTATAATTTAAATTTAGCATCATTTTACATTATTTATAAAATTAGACACATCATATAACATTGCATTCATATGATAAATGCATCCATATGATACTTTTATGTAAAAAGTATCCGGAATTGATCGTTTAAAAAACGTCCACAAAAATTTTTGCTATTTTCTGCTATTCGTCAACCACTTAGTTACAATATTACCAGCATTACACTCATCGTTTATTTCATAATCATCTTTTAACTTGTACAAATATCCTAAACTTCTGAAAAAATGGCTAACGAAATTGTGAAAAAAAGTTAATAAAACTAAATGCGTGTAATAAATCATTTCGTTCAATGAATGGAATTGATAGTTTATACTCTATTTAAGAATATGAATATATTATAGAAGAACATTTAGCTTAAACATTTGATGGTTATATTATAAAATTAGCATTTTAAAAAATTTACTCAAATAATTTTCAACTATTCCTTTGCATTTCAAGAAGCTTGAAGACACAAAGAATTACTGACCCAAAGTTCACAAACATTATCTACGCATTTCATATTCTTAGTATCACCCAACTATCTTCACCAGGGACAGTAACAGGTATCAAAAAAAAAAATAGAAATCACTATTTAACTATTATCATTCGCATCTTAAAATAAAATTAAAAAAATAATAATTAAATTTGCTTTTTATTATATTCATCAAAAATAATTATTTTATGTGCCTTTTATTTTTTCGCGCAAACGTAACTCAAAAAATTCGGCTTTTTATTTTAAAACGCATAAATAACTATTACTTTTGCGTTATAAATAAAAAAATCATGAATATCTGGCAATTTCTGCCGAATATTTTCAAAACGAAAATATAAAATGCAATTTTCATACAAGGTTGTCCTCTTTGTAATTTCACACAAAATGTGTTTATGATAACTGTTACGGTCCCTGATCTTCACTAATGCTTTTTATTTAAATTTGTAGAATAAATCGAAAACTAATTATGTCGAGGTCTAGATTATAAAATTGAAATGCAGTCACCATTTCACATTACAAATACATAATAATTTAAATATACCAACATTGCAGTAAACTTATTGTGTGTGAAAATGCTCTAAAAATATTATTTATTAAAAACTGGATAGGTATATGTATGTCGCCTAACAGTTTTCGCCCACACTTCTGCAAATATCACTACTATACTAGAGTTGTGTTAACATTATCACGATTTGTATCTCAACATCGTTTATTGTATAAAAATTAATTAATTTGCTTAATAATGAATTTCCGTTTCAATCGTTTGCTGCTTCTGTAATTTACATACTTCTTTGCTGCTGCTATGAGAAGTCGACTGCGCCGCTACCGCTCTGCATGTATTTGCTTTATGTTTTAATTTGTTACGAAAAAACAACTATTTTTTTGGTTCGAAGACTCAATGATAAATATGTGCTTCTGACGGGCAGCGCCTATCGGGAAGAAAACAGCGAAATTAACAACTCGCAACAAACAGCAAAGCATCCAATAACAAAACATCTGCAGTTACACAATATTTTGGCTACTACTTCAGAACGCCCCCTACACTTTAACTTCATTGTCTTTTGTTACCAGAATTGCTGCTGAGTGGAGCTCAGCGCATTTGCCCGCATTTATGAAGTCAACATATGAGCGTACATACATATGTAAGTGGGAATATGTGAGGGTCGATCTCTACAGATGCTGACTGGCCACCGGTTTTGGCTGTTGTTCTGAAGTTCTCAAACTAAAGCGTTGTTGTTGTGTTTTCTGCTTGTTGAACTTATTGCTTCTGTTGTTTTGTTGTGTTGTTCTTTTTGTGGTACGGTTGATCCAGTAATCTATTGTTTCTGCTTTTGGACTATTGGAGATATTGGCGCTTTATGTTGACCTGTGTTGTTTGCTTTTAGTATTTTAAGTGTGTTTATGGCTATTGTTGGGTTTTCGTTTCGTTTCGTTTCGCTGCTGATGATTACCGCTGTAAATAGGCAGAATCAACATTTTGACTATGTTGATTGCATTTGATTAAATCATTGTAGTTCAGTGGCGCAACCACCACCAGATTTGTTGATTAGAAAATCAGAACTTTAAACAAAGTTTGAAACAAAGTGAAACAAATCGAATTTTCTTAAATAAAATTAAAAGTTCAATGATCGTCAGTTTGTAGCCCAGAAGGAGTAGACCTTTTTGTCTTTTGTATTTAAGCATTTCTGCTTCAATTAAAAGAATTCGGTACACTCGTATTAAGCCATCAAAGTTTCATCTAAGTATAATTTGATTTCAGACCAAATGATAAATTAAAATTATATGAATCTAAGCTGTATTTTATTATGACAAATTGGTTTTGATTTAATAGGTTTTGCAGAGATTAGATCTTCTGGTGTTTTGTGTGGTAAATACTTCCACAACGATAAATATTGAAGATGATGTGGAAGTATTTATTAAATTTCATTAATACTTTTTTTTTATTTAAATAACATATATTCAAATTGTCTGACTGTAAAAGATGGCTACAGTTAAGAAATGTATATAAATTATTTATTATTCGCGATCAGCTACTCATATAGAATTTTAAGGTATTTTTATTAAACTTATTTTTTAAAAATCTTTGTAACAATTTATTGTTACCAATTTTGGTACGAATGCTTGAGAAAGTAATTGAAGTCATGATCTAAAATAAGAAGTTTGATATTGATATTAATTAGTTGTATTTAGCCACTTCAAAGTGAGCAAAAGAACAACAAGTCTCTTGCCAAACTCTTAAATCAGAGTGCAAAATAGCTACACTACTCCCTTGCTTTATAGGTCTAGTTATACAGTCTTTTAGTCGCTTAGATTAGTTCTGTAGTCAAAGAGACTGCAGAAAAAATGTTATAAAAACGATAAGCGATCTTTTGTGAACCTTCATTGGTAGCTATAATGAATATTTCGGTCATTTATTGAAAGATGTTTGTAAACAAAAAATTCAAATATTTAGTTATGACTAATTTTGGTTCAAAATGAATTTTCGATATCTCCTACATTATTGCTATTGCTTTTAATGCGCTATTAGTTTTATTATTTTAATACGATTTGTTAATTGTGTAAACATAATATATGACAGGTTGCAACAGTGATGCCAATATGTCAGCATGTGGCTAAAGCAAGAGACTTGTTGCTTTTTGTCGCATTTCGAAGCTGCCGAATGCATTCAGTGCATATTATGAGTACTTGAAGAAGTGATTGAATTTATAGTCTAGTATAAAAAAAATACATATATCATATATAAAAAGCAGTTAATAGAAATATAATATATATTATTTATTTATTTAAAAATAATTCATCAAACAATGTATGTATATGTTTTAAGATTGAAGTAAATGCTAATATTTGAAATGTTGAGTTTTGAACAAAATTAAAATAATACTTATATCGTTTTTGATTGGCAAACCAAGATTTGCAACCGATATCTCATTTTTTTCTCGAACATTTCTAGGGTAAAAGTTATATATTAAGTATGGCAAAATACTTGGAGTGTTGTAAATTCATCTCGAGCGTTATACATTTTGCCTGAGATTTATCAATCGAAAATGAAAATTGTATTAAAAGTAAAACTCGGGTGAAAAAGTTTTCCTAGATTTGCCGATTGAAACCGACATTAATTAATTTATTATTATTATTATATTTATTATTATTAAAATTTAGTATTTACTTGTAAGTGTAGTGATTATTGTGTTGGTAATATTTCTTTTATAGTAATTCTTTTTGATATTTTTTATTTATATCTTTTTATCTTTTATATCTTTTTATCTTTTTTTTATATCTTTATTTATATTTTTTATATTTATATTATATTTATATTTTTATTTATATATATGTAGTAAATAAATATGGTAAGCAATGTCAAAAAATAATATACATATTCCGTTCATAAGTGCTGTGTTAATATGATATGAATTACTTAAAACAGTAAAAGGATCGATAATAAACGTTGTTATTTTCAAAGAAGAAATATATACCAATAATCCAAAGTTTTTGACGGATTCGAATAGCAAAGAAAAGACTATGACAAGTATTTAGTTAATTTATTACTCACCATACTCGAAACAGCGTTGCATGGTCAGCCAAACTTCAATAAATTTACTAAATTTATGTCTGTGTCTTTTCTTTGCTATTCGAATCCGTCTAACTTTTAAATGGTTTCTTTTCGTCATAAAGACGCATCACTTTCGGCAAGAAAGAATTAACATCTAAAACATTTTTAAAGTTCCGTTTCGGTATATCTATTAGCTCCTTTAGTAAATATCAACCCACATCTTCTTTTTCGATATGTGGTCAAAGTCCATTATACAATAATTTCTAAGACTGAAATGGTTAAGAAAATTAGACACATATAAGTAAACTCAGTTGTAAATACAGATATCTGGTTAATTTCCTCCGTTATTTAGGTGCAAATATTATGGATTTACCAACTAAATTCACGTTGTTCCTATGTAAATATAATACAGAGTAAAGAAAATGAACTTAATACTCTTTTTATACACATAATTCATAACAAATTGCAAAATGAGACTTATGTGTCTGTCAATATAATTAGTATTGCAAAAAAAAAATTTTTTTTTCGTATATTGAACTGTCAATAAACGAAAAAAATTTGAAATTCAATAAAAATTTCAAAAAAGTTGGCCATGAGATTCAAAAAAAATTGATACCCCAAATAAATTTATATTATTTCTCATATATTTTTTTTCTTAGTACAAAATGTTTCAAAATTAACAGTTTAGACTATCTTCAAAATTAATCATGAACCAAAAACTGTTATTACCGATTTGAACAATAACAATTTATGCAGTCATCTCATATGTAAGTTGTCTCTTCCTATCAATAAATTTTAATTAACCCGAGATATAACTATTGCTAGAAATAACTGATATAAAATGTGCAATTTAAAGTGAATAAAAGTGGATGAAACTTAAACGGTGCAACTTAATGTATTGAGTAAGTAAGAACTGCCCTTATTAAAAGAGTATCAAATGCTATTATATATATTAAAGAAGACCATCGATTCGTTCTAGTTTATTTATTATATAGAAACGTAGAGCATATATAAGATTAACATACAGCCATTGTGTGCAGTGGTAGTTCAGTGTGTGTTAAAATTGCTTTTTGAAATTATTTTAAATTTTCTCTTCTTAATTTTTAACTTTGACAGTTCTTTTTTTTTTGTAATATTTTCAGTATACTAGATTGTTAATTATAAAACTTACTATTACTTGGAATTATGGTTGGAGAAAATATGGGTTAACATATTTCTTCAGTTCTTCTTTTGCGATAACCTAGTGGAGAAAGGAGGATTTAAGTAAGTTTGATTAAGTACACCTATTCCATGTATCTTTTATTTAAATTATATATTTAATCAAATCTACCTAAGAAAATTATTTTTTTAAATTTATATTGATTCTTTGCAGTTGATTTTAAATGAAAAATTAGTTGTTTTTTCAAATGTTTTATTCTTGTTTACCATACTAGACCGCAATACTATCTGTAGATGCATTTAAAAGATCGCGTTGATATCCGTAAAATTCGATTAATATACAAAGGTTTTTTTTATATAGGGCTGGCTACTTGAGTAGTATTTGAGTAAGAAACGTTAGTAAGACAGTAAGCTCTAAGTATTTGAAATCCACATATCAGTGGTTCTTTATGTTTCTAAGCTTCTTGAAATGTTGATAGTGAATTAAAATAGTGTGATAACATACAAGTCCATGCTTCTAATTTGAGTAAGGTTAATTCGCAATACTTGTACTTTTAATATTAAAATTTGAATAATTAAACTTAAAAGATATATTTTCAATCAAAATTGAAAACAAATTTCTGTAGTTAAAAATTTTTCTTACCATGACAGTGTATGACTATAACTTTTTTAAAATTACTTATAATATATAATAGCACTAACACAAGAAGAAGAAGAATCAAGAATAATATTGAATGAATTTTTTCTTTTATAGATTAATTACTATTAAAAAATAATGGATGTGTGCATATTACTAAAATTGTTAAAATTGCAATTTTAAATAGTAGGTATTTATTATAATTATTCTTGAAATGAAATTCACGGCTTTTGATTACCGGACTTTACTTGTGTAACGAAAATATCAAAACTTATTTGATAACATTTCCGAGGAAGACTACTGTGAAAGAATCCTAGCAAATGACGGCAAGTAATATCATAACTTTATTGGATTCATGAGCACAATCCTCGGACATGTAAAAGTTTAATGACGAAATCTCGACTCTGTGCTTATTAGCAACTATGCGAATATTGTGAATATTCTGTGTAGTAGAAACTTTTTGGAGTCGTAGGAGTCGTAAACAACTGATTTTATTACTACTTTATGGTCTCATGATGAAAGATCAACTGAGTGCTTATTGATAAGTATACAGCTTATCATAACTTGGAAGCCGTGCATAAGTTGGAACAGGACTTACTTAACTGCCAATTTATGCTATCATGAGAAGCCAAATTTTAAAATAAACAAATGTAAATAATTAAAAAAAAACGGTAAGTTTTATTTAATTTTATTACACATATATAATAATTTAATATATTAATTTTTAATGTGTACAAAAAAAATATTTAAATACTACTTTTTTAAAATAGAAACTGCAACGATATTTTTAAGACTAAGTCCCTTTAATTTTTAGACTTTTGAAACACATTTAAGCTTTAGAAAGGCTCCTTGACCACTATTTGTATAATGAGTTTAATAATAAAAAATTTTTATTGATAATTTTCCAAGAACTATGCAATTTTTCTTATCTTCGAACCATTTCTCATAACTTTATTTCCACTTCGCTCGAGAAACCTCCCAACCACCGATTGCTTTATTAATTTTCTACAGTTTGTCTTTGATTTTTGGGAATCCGGACTATTTTCCGGATTCCCTCTGATTTTCCATTCAGAGTATACAATTCACGGCTTGTCTACATTATCCGATATAATTTAAGTATTTAAGTATTGGTTGGTAATTTCACATTTGAAATTTAAACATTTGAAATATTAAAAAAAATTTTGATCTATTTAATAAAATAAATAAGTAATTTTATTTTTTTCTTTCAGTATGATTTAAGACTTGCGATATTATTTAAGATTATTTAATTCGAATACAACATGGCTAGACTATTCCCAGATTTTTGGTAAATTTTACTTTTAATTTTAAATTATTTTAATTCACGACTTAAAATTATTCCAATCTTTAGTTAAGTACCCTACAAACGCTACTGGCTTATGGATTATTAAATTTTTAACTCGGACAAAATTAATTAAGTGTGCGTATATATTAATTAAATTTATATGTTTTTAAAAGAGAAAGAAAAAATTGTTATAATATATTATCGTTTTTTATTTGTAGGTAATCGGTTTGAGAACTTCATCAAAATTTTTGGTTTATGAAACAAAAAACTTTTATTTTCAAAATTGTTGGTTGAATTTAAAGCTTACTATAAATAAAAAAAATGTTACCGGAAAATAATACAAAACGTTATTTTTTTAATTAATTAATAAGGAATATTAATATTACAACAGAATACGTCTGATATACTATCTTTTAATAAATGTTTTCTCTTAGTTTGAGAAATAGAACAGGGCTGTCCAAAGCACGGCCCGAATGTTTGTGCAGCCCGCGACATGTTTTTAATTAACAATTCCGGGAATTTTCTTTTGATGTACTAATAATATTTATTTTTTTATTTTTATGGCCATAACGAACACCAATGATATGAGCCTGGAGATCAGACGAAGAATCAACATTGCTAATAGGTGCTATATAGGTCGCTCATCTCCCCTGTCCTTCTGTATGGGAGTGTTCGTGAGAAAAGTTCTTCGTTAGATCTTTGGTCCTCTACAATTTAGCGACGACTACCGCATAAGAATGAACCACCAGCTGTACGAGCTTTATCACGACATTTATATAATTCAGTGCATTAATATCCACCGGCTTCGCTGGCTTAGTCATGTCGTTAGAATAGATGAAAATGCTTCAGCGAAAAAGGTGTTTCCGGCAGTAGTTTACGAAGAAGTGTTACAAGTAGACCATGTCTCCGGTGGAGTGATCAAGTTGAGGGAGCACTAACTGGACTTGATGTACGAGAGTGGAGAAGGCGCGCTTTCGTAACTGAAAGCCCGTTTTCGTTACTGTTCAACGAAGAAATTACTGTACTACGTATATAAAAATATTTTTTTTTAATTTGATGACCAACGATTAAGAATTCAATCGAGAAAATATCGACCGATTTTACTTTCAAAGCCAGTTTGAGAAAGTCTTCTGTGTATTGGCTGCCCTTTATTTAATTTATTAGAAACATAGTCATATTTTATGAACGTAAAATATGGAAGGCTTCCATTGCAATCAAAAATTCAAATTTTTATAAACTAAAGTCTACGCTGAGTTCTGCATATATAATCATTTTAGATGATATAACCATTTAATATTTGTGAGCTTATACAAATTAGAAATGCGTATTAACTACGAAAAAGAAAATGGGCCTGGATAAAGCACACTCTCAGAAGACCCAAAATTTCCCAACAGACATTGAGGTAGAACTTGCAACACTTAAGATAACCGGCGTACTGGTTGCTTTGACTTGGAGGACAATAGTGGATACTATTGTACTCTTGACAATACTATTAAGAGTTGCGAATTATTTATGAAGACATCGTTAGCTATCGCCACAGCATATTTCAATTTTAACAAATAATAGAGATTTATCATATTGTCTTCATATTATATAGAATACTTAGATATTTGATATGGTATTTGATCTAATATAACATAATAAAAATTATTATTAACAATTATTACAAAAGGATCTTTAAGAATTGATTTTTATTAATGTCAATTTTTAATTTTTTTATTAAAACGATTATAGTAAGATATGCATTTTAAAATCCAAGTTAATCGAATTTATTTTTGTAATTTATATCATGAAAATTTTGTTTCAACTTCGTTAACCCATTAACAAGAGTCAAATATAGCAAACCATAGAAATGCGTGATTAATAAAAACCTTGTGAATTTCTCAAAACCACAGGTATTCCAAGTGCATATTTGCCTCCGGATTTGTTTACAAGACATTCATCAAAACAAAGCGAATTCACCGGGGTAAGTAGACAGCCAAGAAAAGCCAAAGTCAAACCTTAGCTACTGCTATGGATGAATGAAAGCGAAAGGCGAAGAGGTGAAGCAGAGTCAACCTAGAAATAGCAAACACCCAAGGTGAAAATGATAAGCAAGTGATATAAAGTTTTCCAACAAAAATACATAATAAAACAACCAATGAAATATTATGAGAAGAATTCACCAACGTTACAAAAAAAAAAAAAAAAAAAATATATGCTGTATGACCGATTTCTTCATTTAACAACAGAAAAGTCAAACAAAGTTAAAGATAGGTATAAACCAAGCGCTGAGTGACCAAATTAACAGCAGAAAGCGACATGACATCGACACCACCGGATCTGTTAAGAAGAATGTAAAAAACAGCAATAATGTAAAGCACATGTAAACATGTGTAGATATACATATGTATATATGTATATTAAAATGCATATACTGAAGGCCGATATGTTTATAAAAACATTTCATAGAGAGGAAGCAATCAAATCAATCCCCACAACAACACATATACATATAGAGAACTATCACAAGCTGCGTTATCAATGAAGTTGTATGTATAAAATTTAAAACAAAACCAAACATATGGATAAACGAAGTTGAAGTAAAGTAAAGGGTAAGACAAAAGTACAGAAATTGGTTTTACGTTAATTTAAACACGTTCATTGATCATCAACTACAACAGAACCGGTAAAATCACATTGGCATGGTATGGCATGGTATACTTGCAAATTGGTAAAGTTATACGCATGAGACAATTGCAACGACCCATCGACCGGCCGACACTTTGTTAAGCCTGTTGGTGTTACTCTTGCAATGAGTAGGTGTGGATTGCATTTGCTCGGCACTATACCAGCTGGAAGGTTGTTTAAGTTCATTCAATAAAAGTTTGGTTTTATATTTAAATGCACGATTATGGCCGAATAGGTTCTTTTGAAGTTTAAGTGCGGAGGCAAATTGCATATCAAAATTAATTAAAGGATGAATTGAATTAAAATTAATTAATATACAATTTCAGTTATATGAATGAATCATTTTTCCGATATTAGAAAAATCTCTGTACCTGAAATACTTTTTAACCCACGAATCTAGTTAGGAAATAAATTTAGAAATTGGAAACTTAATATAAAGGAATGTTGGAAGAAGGCATTTAACGCAAAAGGATACATGAGGTGATTCTCTCGTTATTATACACTGCATAATAATTGTAAGATATAGATTATAAGATTGTGCTTTGATATGATGGACTAAAAAGAAATCATACGTTAATAACTCATGGCACCTCAAATTACTCGAGCCATTACAACAGCTACAATCACCGCTTCTAAGGCTATTCTCAATTTGTCTATAAGCAGAAAATACAAAAGAATTCTCAGTTAAAAACCTTAAAATATCATACTTAACTTATAAAACTTCAGAAATCTTAACGCTCTCGTCAGTTCAGACTATAAGTTTCTTGATAAGAACACAAAAAAGAATTTTAAAAATTTGAAGTTTGGGACTGATCCTTAGTTTTTTCAGTAAAAAAAAATTAAATGGTTGACAGTATTGCTGAAATACTGTCATCCTTGTCAATTTCGGAGGACTGACTGAGCAAGATACTATGTAATATATACCGACAAGTAGACGAGCACATGTTACAAATTTTGTAAAAACATTTGACATACTATATATACGACGACCTTTAATCTAAAGAACTGCAAAACACTAATTTAGCATAAACTTAACATAGGCTAATAATCACCATTTGTGATGGCTGCATGATGTACGTGAAACACTCCTCCAAGAAAGTCAGATCAGCATCTCACCTATTTCTAGCTCTCGCGAAAACTTGACTGCACTTCTTCGGAGTAACCGATTCTTAATAATGAAATAAAATATTTTTTAAAATTCGCCAAAGACAAACACACATCTTAAGTAAATTGTATTATCGTTAATAGCGTTTAAGCACTATAATCTGGTGTCGCTACAAATCTACCTATAGACAGCAAACTTTGATAGAGTTTGAAAACTATTTGAAGTTTGGAATATTTTGATCTCCAAATAAATATATATTTTTAGATGAATTCAATATTATATGTCTTGAATTTTATATAAAATCTAAGTTTTTTGATTTTTGAATTCTCAGTTTTATGCAAACAGTAAGTAGTAAGATCAGAAGTGTTTTTCCTTGATTCGAAATAATATATCTTCAGTATTTTGAAAAAGTAAATATTTCATTATTACTGATATAAACCTAATACCTAATTGAGGTATGTATGCAAAGAAACTGGTGTATTACCGCCCCCTAAATAAATTGTCATTATATTATTTTCGAGCTATATATAAGACTTAATAGAATATATGATATTGTCTTTTAGTGTTGTTGTGTTAATAAAAAGTGGTAAGCGGCACTTGGTTGTCTGTAAAGACGACTAACTCCGGAAAGTAGACCCGTCCGCTTCCTTTACCCTGAATTTTTATGCAAAATGTTCTTGGATTTTAAAGAAAAGATGCTAAAAACTGAGAATTTTTTAGGTTTTTTACGTATTTACATAAACATTAATTTACTTAATTTATGTTTATGTGCTAATAGAAAAGTCTATTGCACTTTAGTTTTTTTGAATAAATTAAAAGCTGTTTACTTGAACATAAAAGCATTTTAGCTCCCATTTCGTAGTCGTTGCATACTCACATATTTGCCAAGTACTTCATTTTTTTTTTGTTACTTATCTCATTTTTTTATACCCTTTCATATATTTTTGCTTTTTCTTTCATTAATTTATTCATTATCAAGCTTTGGTATTGGATCTTTCTATTGTGTAGATATCAATTTACATGTTAACACGTTGTGATTATAATCTGATTGACAGCTATAATTAGTTGTGCCCAATATGTCCGGATATTGGTTACTTTAAATAAAATCATTTAAGTTATGCATTACAAGCATTTAAGTTTCCCATACGAGTAAAGATACAATATTGTTTATTTTCTAGAAAGTAGCCCAGTAGAAGTGCCAAGAACAAACTAATTCTTTTGCATTTATAGACGGAAGTGAGCAAGTTATCAAACCTGGCATTAGAGGCTCTTCATATGTGTTATACATGTGTAAATCAGAGCTTTGTGGAAGCACCGGAAATGAATAAATTAAGCAAGTTTTTAATTTAGTGTAACATACCTAAGTCTAAACTTATAATATAAATGATGTGTACATATATTAAAAATTAAAAAAAAAAATAACAAATAACAAATAGAGCTGTTTTTGATTGAAATAAATATGTTTGAGATATTTATAATAGTTACTTTATAAATTATTCAATCTTTAAGTTTACATATATTGTTAAAAATCAC